CACGGGTGTCACGGGTTTCAGTCAGTAACGCCGCTATTTTAGAAAGATTCTCAGTGATTGATCTAGTCATGAGCATAGTTAGATAGGGATGTCGGTATATATAGCACATAGCGACCTCCCTTTCTAACTGTACTCAAGTAAAGATCAACACTTGATTGTCATTCTGTAATACGGGCCTTAGAGTCTAACAGAACCGTGTAGCCGGCTGTAGGGTATCCATGAGGGTTTCACACTCGCTCCCCTGCCTGGGAAGAAACACCTTTTAATTTAAAACGACTGGTTAAATAAAGTCGTCATTATAATAAATAAATATTAGCATTTTATAAATAAATTCATTTTATTCATCAACAGTATTATACAGCTATACAGGGTGTAAAAACCTATAACAAAGACTAAAACTTCGCATTTTGTACACCCAAACAATACTTTTTATTTATTTATTCATTTATTGCATGTCACATAACATTCATGATTATACATTAATTAATGTAAAGTAAATATGTGACGCCCTGCAAGAGCATAGCAAATATTAAACAATACACTATATACACATTTATATTTTTAAGTTAAAAAATGCATTTTTTTTCCAGTACGCAATGTATAGAGCGACGCGCTACTGTGGCGCTACGCAAAATGTGCCTATGTGTATGTGTGTGCGTGTGTGTAAGTGCGTCGTTAAAAAAGTTTCTAAATAACGTTTTGAAAATACGAGTATTAATACAAATCTTGAAAAAAGAAATTGTGACTTTCTCCATAACCATAAATTTCCCAGGTAAGGTCCAGAAGAAAAAAATGATCGTCATGATGTTGAAAATACGTGGCTTTCGACTTCGTTAAAGGATCTTTTACACCCTGTATAAGTGTTGATCTGTTACACAATAAGATAGACTTCCGGTTACCGTGGTTAAAATATCGATCAAACAAACCTAGCTATTTAACATAGCTGCTAGGTAGACGGTGCAATTTTAAAGTTCTAGACTCGCTGTGTAAACAAGACCTAGAGATAGACTAGTGAAAATATCAGTGATTTATAAGATTCTCGTAACAAACAGAAACTCCTATGATATTTTTTATTGTTTAAGCATTATCTCTTGTTTCTCTTTTATGTAATATTTTATTGTGTGTGTACTAAATAAATAAATAAATAAATTATCTGCTAGATGTTTAACAAAAAAAAAACGAGCGAGCCTTACAGTAGTCGTGTATGATGTGTAACATTTGAAACCTCACCTTATATTAGTAAAAAAAATAAAATAAAACCTACGACATTCAAAAGGAATAAGCCATTTAAACATTAAGTTATAAAATCAGATCAAACAGCGCGCGCTTTCGTGACTTCCTGTTACACACTTCCGTCCCATTTCACGAAATCGCTCCTAAAATTTGCAGGAAATCGAGAGGAAACATTGTTTAATACTTGTAAAGGTATTCATTAGTAACTGTGGGTTACTTTCAATGCGGTGATAATGCTCAGTGTAGTCGCCCAGATAGCGAAGGGTGCGGGTTCGAGTCTGCTGCCCGGTCCGCGTGGATTTTTTTCTAGTAAAATTATCCTTAGAAGCTTCTATTACCATCAGCAGCCCATTAATGTCCTTTCCTATGGATGGAATAGGCAGATTTGGGTCGTACCATCGTGCACCACCATGCGGGCTCTGTACGGATTGGTGGTGCTAGCGACCGCAAATGCAGCCAGGATCAACGATTTAACGTGCTTTCCGAAGCACGGAGGAGCTCCAATAACCGACCATTATTCCGTGGCTGAGTGATATATACGCTGGATTTCATGGTGTCGCCTACTCGAGAGGTCTCAAGTTCGAATCCCGGTGGGGGAAAATGTTTGTGCGATGAATACGAGCATTTATATTTTAGTAATGAATGTTTATATAAATTTATAAATATATGTAGTCTATCCGTTACACTAGCATCCCATAACACAAGCCTTACAATGCTTACTTTGAGGCTAGGCTAATCGGTGGTTGGAAATATTTATTAAATATTATTTGTGAGACTGTCTACAAATATTGGAACTGGGTCAAATTATGCAACATAATAAAATATTACTTATAATTTTTTATATTGCGAAAGTTGCTTAATTTCCAGGATCGCAGGCGAATAAACACGCTTTACACCCGCGCCATCGAATTCCTCCTAATTGTAATAACGCAAACATTACAAAAATTCCGGCCTTTAGCTTTAGCTGTTGCGGTGTTAAAAAACAACACTTTTGGGCGAAAATTGGGAAATTGTCCCCCTCCTAAAAGTTTGCCGAAGGGACGGTCAATACTGGAACCACAAACGAATTCAAATTCACAGCGTTGTGTGCGCCTTTAACAGAGCGAAATTAATCTTCATTCTTAAACACCGAGACCCCTAGGCCTCCCCTATAAGGCATGTTTTGTAGACGGCTTCTTGAATTTAGGCGAAAAGTGTTGAATATATTTTTTAAATAAAACTAGTTTTTAACGGGTTAATGCACGAAACTTTATTTATTTTTTGACGTTTCGTAGCAATAAGGTCGTAATCAATAAGGTCGTCGGAATCAAATTTTTATTATCTGTATCTCTTTATTTATTTATTTTTATTATATCAATAAATAAATAAAGTTTCGTGCATTAACCCGTAAAAAACTAGTTTTATTTAATGAGTGATGTGCGTGAAAACCTAAAAAACATTTTTTTTTATCTATTTTAAGACTGTTAGTTTATTTGTTTGAATTAGAGAGGTCCTACTTCTATCTCTGACAGATTTTCTTCTTCTTATATTGGAACGTCCGTCAGGGGAAGTCACTTCCCCCTTATAGTCCAAGATTCCGCAGTTCGTTTCTGAAGCTATCTGTTTTTTAATGAAAGTTAATTTAAATTAATTTTTACTGAGTATAACATACATTAGTTACGGGTTGCCTAAAAACAAGCCGCAAATACTTTTAATTAATTTTAGTCACATCCATTTATTTACCTAAATTGTATCCCTATGCTTTTTTTCATAAATTTTACGTCATCTGAAAGTAAGGGATTAATTTAATCACTCTATTTGTAGTGTTCATGATTGGCTTTTTCTATAAGCATTTTTTTTTAACTTGGTGCCAATATTTTTAAAATCAAAATCATATATTCAGTCTAGGCTGTTACAAACACTTGTGAAGGTTGCAAAGGCACGCTATCTGTCTGAAAATCAACGGCGGGAGACCTGGTACTGAGAAGAACCGGCAAGATTCTTAGCAAAGGCTGTTCGTCAAGTTTAAAATGATTTCAAAGTTAATTCTGAAGCCACCTTCCATTACATAATTTAGAATATAAATATATACCCACAATAAGTTTTTTATTGAGATTTTCATGTTTTTATATTTGTTGAATCTCATTAAACAAATTATCAATTAACCTAATCAAAGTGTCATAATTTGCATTTCTCTATCAAAAAACATAACTAGACACTGAATTTATTCAAAAGTTATAACTGAAGCTCACTTTTATGGGGAACATTCTCTCCCCTATCAGATGTTGGGGCACCCCGCGCCTTTCTCAAATTAGATTCATTAGTGCGTCGTTGTGCGCCCCGTGTTATAGTACGCAATGTTTACGCTACCAGATGGAATACAAACATATAACGCGGCTCTCCTCGGTACCCTCGGAGGATAAATATGATTAAAATCACCCTGTTTCACTTTGAGATTTTTTTCTTGTCAGTTTTTTCTGATTTCCTCTTTATTTATTTTGTTTTATGGTCCCTTTTCTTGGTGGAACTCGACGTTTCCTTTGCAGAGAAGAAATTGTTTAGAAAAAATCTATTTTTTTTAACTCTAGTTTGCTCCCTCAATCTACAACTTTAAGACAAAATGTTAGCCCATATCTTCATAATAGTAGAAGAAACATCATTTCCTTCACATCATACATAAATAACAGACAAATTTCGTTGTCAAACCAATATTTGCTCTGTGCACTTTTTGGAGATTTGGACAATTTAATTATTTTGACTATTTTCATCTTTAGATTTGACGAATTTTCGAATACAAAGACTGCTTATGCAAATTTTAGCGTTGTTACAGTGAACAGAGGTTGCTCAAGGATATACTATATGCATCAGCCAGAATATTGTCAAATATTAGCTGCTCTGTTTTAAAGTTTCATTATTTCACATAGTTTAAATTGTATATTGTTTTAAACTTTCATGGTCACTAACATTATATAGTAATATAAGTTATTTACGGGATTGTTACCATGCACCTTGTTTTTAGAGCGGCTTTCCGATATTTCGGCACTGTCGCAAGCGCCATGATCACGGAGTAACTGAGACTGGGAAACTCGCTAAAAACAAGGTACATGGTAACAATCACGTTAATAACTTATATTACTATAGCTTAAATTGGATAAACAACGACCGAATACAACAAGAAACATTTATTTCACCGTGGTACTGTGAGGAGCACAGGATTGTAATTATTTATTAAAGAAGTTTATTTTAACAAATTTAAGATTAGGTATTTAGGTATTGACTTTAATGGTCTCGAAGAAAATCTATCTATGAACGGATTATCCTAAATTGGTTCAATTAATCGATACCTTTATTAAGACGTAATAACACATACAGCTATTTATAATTCGTTTCCCTTTAAAACGTGAATTATCTCCAATATCAGCCTATTAATGTCCCCATTGTTGGGGCACAGAACTTCGGATGGATGGAATAGGGAGATTGGGCCATGACTCTTCACGGGGACCCAGTGCGGACTGGTGGGTGCTAACGACTGCAGATGCAGCCCGGAACAACGGCTTAACGTGCCTTCCGAAGCATGGAGGACCTTCAGATAGTAAATTTTTGGTCATACATTTATTGATAGTAGTCGACACTTCGAAAGTTGCTTAACTTCAACGATCGAAGCCGAATGCGCTAACAACTCACGCGAAATGCTAAATACATAGCTGCTATGCAAGGAAATGTAAAATTTCCACTCTGTTATTTGTTTTAATGTAGTATTTTATTGAAAATTTATCTCTTTGTTTCAGATTACAACTCCAAACACACAGTAACAGCAATTATGTTATAGTGTCAAATACACGGTTGTTCTGCAGTAGTGTCAAGCACTTGTGAAACTAGTGTCAAAATTAATTTGTAAATAAGTGCGTAAATATGGGGTGCAACACTAGTTCAGAGGCCAAAACCGATGCCAAAACAGCGAAAGAAGAGAAAGAGCACACACAGGAAAACCACACTAATACCAATGCAGGTAAATACCTTTTTTATTTGTAGCAAACTAGTTATATTACACATCGAATGAATTATAAATAAAGTCATATATATGATTATTTACCTGTTTACCTGTTTTTATACGTCTACGCTGGGTTTTCACCGAATGCTCAGTAAGATTCGAATTCGAATAGTTTGCGAGTGCGAAGTGTCATTGTCAAATGTGTGCTGATTTTTAGTTCTCCTTGCGTCCGTTGTGGCGCTGTGTTCAAGTTTCTATACCAAATTTGACAATGACATTTCAGACTCGCAAATTATTCCAATTCGATATTGGTTCGTGCTAAGGGTACTTTACCCTTCCAATAGTTTGTGCGAAGAGTCATTGTTGAATATGTACTGATTTTAGTTCTCGTTATATCCGTTGAGGCGCTCCTGTTCAAGTTTCAATACAGATTTTGACAATGACGTTTCGGACTCGCAAACTATTCGACTTCGATATTGGTTCGTGCGAAGGGTACAGAACAGTTCCAAGCGACCAAACATTTGAGGAGCTGGCGAACAAAACGGTATAATTACGCATCCGGAGGTTCCGGGCTCGTTCAATTTGAATTTTAAATAATTTTCAATCAAAACTGCCTAAAACAGAGTTAAAATTACGTAATTTATAAATTAAAAACCATAACAAAAGCTCACTGGAGGTATGTCATTCAGTTTTTTACAGCTCCTGTAAATAAATTCATTCATCATCAGCCTATTAATGTCCCAACTGTTGGGGCACAGGCCTTCCCTATGGCTGGAATAGGGAGATTGGGCCATGACCCACCACGCGGGCCCAGTGCGGATTGGCGGGTGCTAACGACTGCAGATGCAGCCGGGACCAACGGCTTAACGTGCCTTCCGAAGCACGGAGGAACTCGAGATAGAAGATTTTTGGTCACCCAACTTCAACGATCGCAGCCGAACGCGCTAACCACCCGCGCCGTCGAGCTCCTCAAAATTTAATTTTATGTGATTATACCGTTTTGTTCGCCAGCTCCTCATTTGTTGTTTTTATGTTAAGAAGGTGGGAAACAAGCTTATGGCCCGCTTGATGGTAAGCTGCCACCATAGCATATAGACGCATGTGATACAAAAATATCACTCGCCCCGTAGCCTACCCTGACCCAATCCCCTACCCCGTGGAGCCCTGGAACCTTACTCACCGACAGAAACATAACACCACCAAAAAGCAGTTTTATTTCACTATGTCTTCTGTAAGGTTATTCTTATTAAGGCCTTCGGTGTCACCGTCTAACTGTGGCCACAATTCCAACGCGTACAAAGAAATTTGGCGACTCATTTCTTTGTCGCACTAAATGGAATGTTCTGCCTGCTCACGTGTTCCCTCCTTCTTACAACCTGGGATCCTTTAAAAGAAGCGTGAAGAAGCAACATGCAGGCCGGCAAGGTGAGGATGGCTGGTGTCGCAGGTAGAACTGCTGTACCAGCTATCTTCACATCCGGACTACACCATCACTTAACATCAGGTGGGGTGGAGTCATTTGTCGGACCTATCTAATCGGTCGGTTCAAATTCGAGCGGAAATTTAGACTCGCCTCGCTCAGTAAATGGAATGCTCAGAGTAATGTTGTGTACTTTCCATTCACAGAACACAGAAAGAGGTTAGAAGAGCCTTATGGGCGGGGCATGTGCGCCACAGTAATGTGTGAGCAAATATGTGCTCATAACTTGACCAAATCTTGGTTCTGATTGCGTCGTTGCTCTTGGCTGTGAGCGCTGATTGGTTCGACTGTTTGATAGTCTATTAGGTGGAAGTGTAGTGAGGGCGAGCCGGCGACATCGGTTGCCGTACAAACGGTCTATGATAACCCTTCTAACGTCTTTCTGTGTTCTGTGTTTTGATTCATGATTTAGCAAGAGAGCTTTCATTTCCTAGGACCAGTCAAACATCGTCACTCGCTCTGATATTTCCATTTATCGAACGAGCAAATGTTTGCTCGTTCAGAACTGTTTTGAGCTTATGTGGAAACGCAGTTACGCGTAAAACCCAAAGTTGAACGCGACCAAACAAAAGTCGACCCAAGGATAAGATAGGAAGGATTTATGGATAATCAACATTAATTGATGCTGAATAAATTGTAACAATGACCTGCATGCGAATATAAAGGTTAATAGGAAGCGTTAGAAATAAGGGTACCTAATCAATGAAAATTTAGCGATAACGCTTGGGTACTTAATTACCATAAATTTGTATGTGCATTCAGCTGCACATACAAATTTATCGTCTCCCACAACCTTTCCACAACTTTTTTTATGCGTGTCAAAAATCGCCAGCCAAGCTCACTGAGCCCGATAATTCATTACGAATAAATACAATTGAGGTAATTCAAACGGAAGCTAATTTTAGAACATTTAGTACCAAAGCTTCGTCACGCAGGTGTCGGAGAAGCATATAAACAAAACATAGCCACACAAAGCGCTCATGACAATTCTACGAGTTTCGAGTTGACCTAATAGATAGAAGACTTAATAGATATCACAGAACAGCGTAGCACAGCTTGATGTTAATTGTTAACCATAAAGCCGAGGAAAAGCGTGCGAACCCCCAAGGTAGTAATAGTAATTTAAATTGAAATACAGAGTCAAACATTTGTAATGCATAGATTACAAAAATTTCATCCTCAAACAAATCCAGAAAAAGAGATACCGTTTTTTTTCATACTGATTATTACTTTGAACGTAGTGTCCGAGGAAAAAGCATAATAATTACCTTTACCAACAACGCCATCTAACGGAGTTTTCCTGTAACTGCGATAAAAGCCTGCTTGTAGAAAAGCATCGTTCGGCTTGCTTTCAGTGCAGGTTTTTTCACTAATATCGTACAGATGGCGTGTGCAATAAAAGTTACTTTTCACACAACTTACTAGGTGGCAGCAGCATAAAAGTACATAATATATTACCTTGAAATTTAAATTGAGTAGAGAAACTCATGCCATTTTATCTCCGTGGGAAATTCAGTGGCATCAAAAGGTAAATATAAACATACCGAACAATATGTTTTCATCTGTTATGATAGAGTAATATAAACTAATGAAATAATAATACTAGTTTCGTTGACCGTCTATTCGTCCCGTACTAGTATCAATTTTGACAGTTTCAATTTTTACAGAATGTGATATTCCTATTGAAAATGAATGAAAATTAATAAATATTTAAATCATTTGACGACTTTCGTGAAACGTTTGAATAACGATTTTGTTTTTGAGAAATCGATTATTATATATGTTAAAAAAGCTTTTTAATAAAAAAGGATATAAGAAACGAACCTACTGAAAACTATCGATTCTACTTCCTAACAAATACCATTTCGAATGGGGGCAGGTTGTTTTTTCCTTATTTTGAAATACGTTTGGCAGTCAGGTCGATTTACCACTACCACGAGTAAACGATAACATGACAAAAAAAAGAAAAACCGGAAATGGCACTCCGGAAGTGCCGACAGACGCCTCGCCCGAACATATTTTTCGTAACGCGTAACGCATTCGCCAGCTTACCCCCCAAGTCCAGCGTGCCTTTAGAAGTTTCACTTCAAAATACAGATTGGTAATAATTTAGTTAAAATTATAATCATACCGAAATTGTAACGTAATAGCCTCGCGTCGGTACAACAGCGTGTTTTTTCGTAAGGCGATTACGTTACGATTGCGATACGAATCCGATTACTGTGCGTTGAAGTAGAGAGTTTCTTACAAAGAATACTGAATGGCTCCAGTTGATACGGTGACGATTTCTTTCCGAGTTGATATGTCTTCTATGACTATCACGTTATTGGTTATAATTATGAAATAAATTTTATAAAACAAGTTTCAACGGGTTAGATGCACTGAATTTATTTATTTATTGACGTATAAAAAAACATTATTCCGTCGACGTATTCCTGCTAAGGATGCGAAACGTCAATAAATAAATAAAATCAGTGCATCAAACCCGTTGAAACTTTATTTATTTAATGAGTGACGTGCGTGAAAACCTATGAAACAAATAAATGAATTGAAGTCAAACTCTCATAGTAGTGGAAGAATGAATCTATTAGTTATCCCTCGCAGGTGCAGCTTGCAGAGAGATCTGTCAACCATGAGTGATTGTTTATTAAGTACTAGGTATTTTCAGTTGAGTAACAGTACTGAAACTTCTTACATAACACTACCTGTCTCAGCGAACTTTGTACTGCCATAAAAAATATGGGTTAGTGGTAGAAGGGTGAAAATTTTGGGTTGTATGTATTTTTGTATGGTGCATCATAAAAAAATAAAAAAAAAAAATCGTCTAAAAAAATTTTAGAGACCAGGGAGGGACCAGGGGTGAAAAAAGATATTGTCCGATTCTCAGACCTACGGAATATGCATATAAAATTTCACGAAAATCGGTCGAGCGGTTTGGTCGAGATGGTCAATTACGCACACCGTGACACGAGGATTTTGTCTATTAGGTATCAAAAAGTTACGGCGGTGTAAAGGTTTGTTTTCTGTTTTTTTGTAGTTATAGTTAGATTTGTGGCATTGGGCAAAAGAAATTATCCCAGAAAGTTTGCCCAGTGCAAATTATAACAATAAAGAGTTTAATTTGTTTCCGTTGAATGTTAACAACTACATTTTTTGTAATCTCTTAGAAGTAATGAGTTCCAATAAAATCTCAAATTGTCAACCGGACTCAAAAAGGAGCAGATTCATAATTATTCGCCTGAATGTTTTTGATATTTTTTGTTTTAATGTTTTCAAAACAAATTTCTTTATTAGTTTTTTCTTTTGTTATAAATAATATATGTGTCTTTCTGGAAATTTTTAACTTTAGAGTCTACAAAATAAAAGCCAAGTAAAATTTAAAGGCGAACTTAATTGTGATAGCTTTGCTTTTAATTTTACTATTACTACCGTATTTCTTTACATATTAAGAAACATAGTGCTAGCAGTGGAGTGCAAAAAATAATTTAAATTAAACATAAATGAATTAATTGTAATGGACATCAAATTAAATATAAAG